CAACCCAAACCATTCTATGATTCTATGGCTGTTTACTTAAAATAAGCACTGGATTTGAGAGTGTGGTTTCTTTGCTCTTAATTTTCCTGCTGGTAGTTTGATATTCTGTGACATGCTACTTATGATATTAACCCATTGCATACCAGTGGTCTGCCACTACGCAGGCTTTTGTTCACAAAACAAATGTAAAGATGTGACAGTGTGCGGCAGGGTTTCGGAGGAGCTGTTGTGTACAGTCTTGGATATATATTCATGTTTCTCTTGGGTAAAAAATTGATCAAAATAACTTGTGCACACTGTTCTGAGGATGCAGGCATCCGCATGGCATATCAAAAGGTCTGTCAGGTCTTGATCACTGAGCAAAAGGGTTGATAAGCAGTTCCCAGGTGCAAGATGATGATAGAGTATGCATTTGAAGGCAAGATGGCATTGCCTATAAAATTTCAGCTACATTCCAGTATGTGAATTGGCAACTATATAATGGTGTCAAGAACAGTGAGGTTTTTAAAGACTCTTCCGTAAGTAACCACATACATATATATTGTCCATTTAAGTTAACTGTTGCCTCTCATGTGATAGGGGCTGAGCTTAAAGAAGCGACAAGGCCAAAAGGTCCTCACATTATTGCTTTTCAGGATTGCATAAGGTGCTGGTAATGTAATTTGCAGTAAACTGTCAAAGCAAATAAAAGGATAAAACTACACTATCACTTACATGCTTGAGTGGAGTACTGTTATAACTTTGCCTGTAGCTGCTTGACTCTGAGAATGCACAAACCAACACAAGTTACAATTTTCTTGATGTTTTTTAAGAGAATGGTAGAAAATGGTGGAAATAATTGAGTGTCAGTAATTACTGATTATTCAGTAATAACACCAGATGTCACAAGTATTCCTTTTTCCTTGCCTTGCAGTTGCATGGGGTAGAGTGAATCATCGCTGCTCAAGAGCCAGTCATGCATGACTGTGGGCTCTGTGCTCGGGACAGTGGCGAATATCTGGCCAAACTCCCTGTAGTAGGGGCAGGTAGATGGGGAGCTCCTGGACTTGTGGTTATCTTCCTATGCATTGTGGTAGGCTCTAGAAGTTTTTAATACACTCTTACTACATGGGACATCCATTTAATCTCTCCACCAGCTGTTTTAAGATGCTTTCATACAAATGATGATTTTGAGTTGTTCTCAAAATCACATTACTTGCTGTAGTTACATTGAAATTACTGCTGTAGTCCTTTAGACAGCTTGTTGCACCAGAGCAGCATGTTCTAGAGCTTTCTGTCTAAAGGCTTTCTGGCTGTGCACCTCCTGCCAAAGTGGAAGTGCTGTTTGCAGTGAGTGTGTTGGTAGATGAGCAGCTCCCAAAGCTTTGGAGGTGAACAAAAAGTCCAGGATTAAGATACTGTGAGGTGGTATTGGGGAGTTACTAAACTTCAGTCTTGCTTCCTTAAGTGTATCTTCACTGCCAGATGGAAGAGTCAGAACCTGCTGAGAAGCCTGAGGTTTGCTTCTAGTCTTTGTCCAGGAAAGCAAACCAGGTTCACAGGATTTGTTAATCTGGGTGTAAGGAGTGTTTGGAGGACTTTGGGCTGAAGAGCTTGGATTAAGGCATGCAACTTGATTGACTTCTAATTTAGCATTCTAATACTGGTAACTTTATGCGCTCCTACGTCAGTTGTATATTCACCCTAGATATCTGACTGCTAGTGCCATTACTGTTTAATTTGTAATTCTGCTGTGTCTACTCATACGTCTAAAATCACTTTCATGCGCATTGTCCTTGCAGAAAGAAACATCTTTTGGCAGTTTTCGTTTGTTTGTTACCATTGCACATTTTCCCTTCATTACTTTTTCCCACTTTTTTTCCTTCTTACCTTTTTACTTTTCTTCAACTGTCAGTGGAATTATTGTCTTCCTGTCTCCATATTCAGGTAGTGTCAGTGGCTGAGTATCACCGCAGGATCGATGCTCTAAATAGCGAAGAACTGCGCACACTCTGCAGACGTCTCCAGGTGCCCTCTTCAGTAGTTTAAACCCCATCTTCAGATACTAAAACATCTTTCTTTGTAGTGTCTTTGATCAGGGCAAGTCCCGCGCTCAGTGGGTTTGTCTTATCTACAGCACTACAAGGATCCAGCAGAAAATTCCTTTGTTTTGGATGTATTTAATTGTACAATTTCATGATGGAATTATTACTTCAACATTTTCAAACAGGAATTTTCTGTCAGAATTTGGAAAGTTGTTCTTAGTACTGCTTGACTTGGAGTGATGTGTTTTTAACTGCCACATTAGACTGGTGTGTTGTGTTAGATAGAAGCTTTCCTAAAAAGAATGCAAAACAGGTGAAGGATCCAAAACCTTCTTGCATGGGTGTTTAATTTTACATAGGAATCTTTCAAGAATCTCACAGTACTTGACAAGTACGAAGCTTCGCAAATTCTGTGGAATAGGTAAGTATTCTTCCCATTATACAAGCAGGTAACTACAGTGTTCAACACAGCAGAGGTCGTACACGTGAAGCTGGTAATGGAACTAACTGTTCTGAAAACAGTTTGGGTTTTTGAAGGTTTACTGATATGGACTTAAACTGATGTTTGCATTCTCTTTAGGTGTTTCTTAGTTCTTTGACAACTATGCAATTGTTACTAGCTGTGTACATCACACATAACTTACTGATGGAAAGCATGGCTTAGAACTTCTTAGAAGCACTGAGTGTTCTGTTCTCCTGTAGCAATTGGCTGCTTAAACTGTAAAAACTTTACAGTTCTGTTTTTTGACTCTCATCTTGGCTTTGTTTTTACCTATTATATAACGTAAGAAGATGTTTTCTTCACTCTCTTATTTCTGCTTATTTAATAATCAGTATTCCTATGTTTTTAAATGTGTTGTAAATGTTTTGCACAAATTAATGAGCATGAACCCAAAACCTGCACATGTATGGGAGCATCAGAAATTTTGCAAGAAGATGTTAATTCCCACTTGAGAATAAAAAAACCTGTTTCTGGCAAGTGGTGGTAGGGAATCCTTGTGTTCATACCCTAGGAGTGCAAGAGCTCTTTCCAAATACCTTTCACCTGGAATGCCTAAACTCAAGGTTTAGGCCAGCTTGAAAAATCTTATATGATGAACTGGAGCCTATAAACTCTCTGCTCTGAGGCAATGTGAGAGTGTTTGGTGTAAGACTGCATGGCAGTTATGAACCTCTGAAGCCCCTGGAATCTGATTATGGGTCATTCTGCTCTGTCAAAGTTTAGCGAGAAATAAATTTGCAAGTTTCAAAACTTAACTGTGTTCTGCCAGACAGATACCTTTGAACAGACATACGTCTTTGTCCACTTCTACAAAGCCGTGTTCTTCATCGAAGAAAGTTGCTTTACTGTAACAGTAACTTTAAAAAGGCAAAAAAATCCAACAAACAAACACAACAACCAAAAAAACCACAGTTCCCCCACACCACTTCAGTCCAAATTATTCGTGTTTTGCATGGTGCACTTTAATCAGAATTAGAGAGTAAGAAAGGGAATAAGCTTTTTGCTGTACAGTTGAACTATGCTGAACTTTTATGGAGTTGAAGCAATAGTGTATGATGGATGAAAGGCATTTAACATGGAAAAGAGTTGGACAATGAAATAACATGTTTTATAGAGATAGCACTCTGATGCAGTCTGTAGGCCATCTTTTTGTACTTGGAGCTGTATGGATAAGTGCATATACTTTTTTTTTTTTGTTGTTGTGAAATGGAAATTGGTGCATAGTTTGCATTGGAAATTCCTGTTGCCTTCCATTGGAAAATGCAAGGAGTGAGCTATTTGCTTGCTTAATACTCACCCATTAAGCATGCCTTTTCTCAAGTTAAGAATTAATATTGTAATTAGGCAATATGTGTGAATATACTTCAATACTTTGGAGTTTGTGATAACCTTTGTTGTAGTTTATGAGGGAGATGAAAGGGATATCCTTGTTTTTTGGCTTGGGTGGATATATTTGTTTTAATATTCCTATCTGTATTTCAGAGTCTTCTTTGATTTGGCTTTACTTTTTTTTAAGCTAAGAAAGTTGTCTTCACAAGAGCTTGGCAAAGTTTATCATGATGATTTTCTGAAATACTATAGTTGTGTTCTGTATGTTTAGAGTATGAGGTGTATGGCAAACACTGGTGGTTATTTTGGAGTTTGCAGGTGGTTTTGGCAGGTATTTTCTTGACATTCTCAGGATTCAGGGTTTAAATAATTTGGTCAATCTGTTGACTTTCAGTGAAACTTGGTTCAGGCTGATAAATTCACATGCACTTGTTCTTTTATTTTTCTTTAGCAAATCTCTCAACATTTTAATAAGTTTTGCTGCAGTGGCTTAAGTTACTAACTTCCTTCACTTTGTCCTCCTCCTCTGTCAGACTTCACTGTCCCCACAGCAAGTTTCAAATACTCCTGCAGCAAGATTTATAGAAGGAAACCTGTTTGGCTCTTAGCTAGTCTAGTTGTCCACTTTACCCTGAAAGTGCCAGTGAATGTGGACTGGGGTAGGAAGGTATGATATTTGATGAGTTTTGTGGTCCTTTGCTCCCTCCACTATGGTGATCTGCAGCAACTCGGTAGGATAGACGGATGGGGCAGATATTTTAAACTATAAGACGATCTTTGTGCATAGTGCTCACAATGTAGGATAAGTATTACTGCTGCTTCCCCTTCTCCACCTTCTCAGTTCTTTCTTTTTTGATTCTCGTAAGTACTCCAGCAGATCAGCTTATGGAGCAGCAATATCCCTCAGGCTCCATTCAGATGGTTTACTCAAAATACTTGACAGCAGTCTTTCCACGTGTCTACTACATATCTGAAAACAAGTACTCTTTAAAAGAGTATTGAATGAGAAGCTACTGAGAAATATCTGTGGGGAACTTTCAATTTCTGTCTGGGGGGGGTTAATTAGATTTAATGTGAATGCTGTGTCAGTATTAAAATGCAAGAACTTTGTAGGCTGACCTCTGAAAAGCACTTTTAAGTCCTTCAGCTGTGTGTGAGGACTCATTTTCTTGTTTTAGCATAAAACCATAGGTTTCTTCTGAGTGGGTGACTAATTTATTGTTAGTATATAGTTGAACACAGGCTTGCTATTGGAAGCAGTGCAGATTTTGCTCAGATCAAATCTAAGCTATTTCTTAACTTTTGAAGGAGTTGCATAACTAAATCAGCAACTGCATGATTTTAAGCCTGCAAAATTTATCTTCCCTGCTAATAGAATGCAAGTACTTACTTTATTGTTCTTCTTGTAGATAACAACAAGAGAAGACATCAATTCAAAACAGGAGACAAATATCAAAACAGACCTGGAGCCTGAAGCATTCCGGCCAAATCTTAGCGATCCCAGTGAATTATTACAGCCAGAACAAATTGAAAAGGTATTAACTTAAATCTGTCACTTTTTAGTATTGTACATTGATGTATCACAAATGCCATTGACCATAGTGTAAAACACACTAGTAGGAAGACCTTGTGTGATCTTAAATAGTACAGAATCATTTCATTTGGAAAGGACCTTTAAGATCAAGTCAAACCATTAACCTAACACTACCTAGTCCGCCACTAAAACATATCCCTAAGTGCCACATCTACATGTCTTTTAAATACCTCCAGGGATGGTGACTCCAATGCTTCCCTGGGCAGCCTGTTCCAATGCTAGGTAACCCTTTTGTGGAAGAAATTTTTCCTAATATCCAGCCTAAGCTTTCCCCAGTGCAAGTTGAGGCCGTTTTCTCTTGTCCTGTTATATGTTACTGGGGAAAAGAGACTGATACCCACCTCACTACAATCTGATTTCAGGTAAATGTAGAGCAGTAAGGTCTCCCCTGAACCTCTTTTTCTCCAGGCTTGATCCCCTCATCCAGATCATTGATAAAGATATTAAACAGAACTGGCCCCAGTAATGAGCCCTGGGGAACGCCCCTTGTGACCAACTGCTAGCTGGATTTAACTCCATTCACCACCACTCTTCCAGCTTGGCCATGCAGCCAGTTTTTACCCAGTAAATAGTGCATACATCCAAGCTCTGAGCAGCCAGTTTCTCCAGGAGAATGCTGTGGAAAATGCTGTCAAATGCTTTACTAAAGTCTTGGGAGAAAACATCCACAGCCTTTTGCTCATGCACTAAGCAGGTCACCCTGTCATAGAAGGAGATCAGGTTAGCCAAGCAGGACCTGCCTTTCATAAACCCCTGCTGACTGACCACCTGATTGTCCTGTAGGTGCCACTGATGGCACTTGGGGTGATGTGCTCCATAACCTTCCCTGGCACTGAGGCCAGACTGGCAGGTCTGTAGTTCTCTGGATCTTCCTTCCGGCCTTTCTGGTAGATGGGTGTCACGTTTGCTCATTTCCAGCCAACTGGGACCCCCCTGGTTATCCAGGACTGCTGATAAATGATGGAAAGTGGATCTGTGACTACTTCTGCCAGCTCCCTCAGAATCCTTGGGTGGATCTGTGCTGGGTTCAGCTACAGCAGTCATTTTTTCTCCTTCTTAGTAGCTGGTGCAGTGCTGTGTTTTTTGACTTTCAGTCTGGGAATAACGCGGATAACACCGATGTTTTTAGTTGTTGCTCAGTACTGTTTACTCTGACCAACGAATTTCTCAGTCTCATGCTTTGCCAGGGACGAGGGAAAGCCGGGAGGAAGCAGAGACAGGACACCTGACCCAGACTGGCCAAAGGGGTATTCCATACCACAGCACGTCATGCCCAGTATAGAAACTGGGGGGAGTTACCCGGAAGGCCCAGATCGCTGCTCGGGTCGGGCTGGGTGTCGGTCGGCGGGTGGTGAGCGGTTGTGTCCTTTTCCCTTGTTATTCCTCTTACCATTATTATTGGTAGCAGTAGTGGTTTGTATTATACCTTAGTTACTGGAGTGCTGTTATCTCAACCCGTGGGAGTTACATTCCTCCGATTCTCCTCCCCATCCCTCCGGGAGCAGGGGGAGGAAGGAAGAGGTGGGGGGAGTGAGCAAGCGGCTGCATGGTTCCCAGTTGCCGGCTGGGCTTAAACCACGACAGAATCCCATCTTGCCCCATAGACTTGTGTGTGTTTAAGTGCAGAAGGACAACACAATTTGTATCTAAAGTGTTGCTTTCTTTATTATCAGAACTTTCAGTACACTGTGACAATACTAGTCTGTGTCTTTACTCTTATTTCACTGTTCCTTGAACACAGCTTGGCTTTCACTGCAGTTCTTGCTGTCCAGTCCAAAGTCATCTCATTTAATGTGTTTATTGAAGGTTTGGATTAAGGCTGACTGCTTTCAAAGGCACAAGAACAGGAGACCAAGCATCCTTTGCCCTAGAACTTGTTACCCGTTACATTAAGTGCATTGTTATCATCTTGTTAACAGCTCACAAAGTCTCTTCCACCACGGACCATTGGATATCCATGGACCCTTGTCTACAGTACTGCAAAGCATGGCATGAGCTTGAAGACTTTGTATCGAACAATGGTGGGACTAGACACACCTGTGCTGTTGGTTATCAAAGACAGTGATGGACAGGTAGGAAAATTGCTTGTGTGAAGGCAGGAGACCCATCAAGAAAAAAGGAGTATAAAGTAGTAGCTGACACTTCAATCCGACATGAAATAAATCTGTGTGTATGAGGCTGGTTTTCTCCTTGGCAGTTATGTAGAGGCTTTTCAAAACATGTCTTGCTGTCAAGCAATCCTCTGGCAGGCTGCGTTTCTAGGAAATACTTTAATGATACATGTTCACTGTCACAGTGCATGAGTTTCATAATACCCAATTACTTAATTTTCTTTTAATAGTCTTTTTTTTTAATGCACTTAGAGTATGAGAAGTAGTCTGTAAAACTTTCTGATGATGGAAGATGTTGTTGAGTTGGAATGTCATTGCCAGCTGCGGCCAGTGCTTCTTGGTAAATGCTGTGGCTGCAACCACCATGTCTCTCCCATTGAAAAGTTATTGGATCTTTGCTACATTATTAATTTTTGTTCCTTGAGTCTCTAGTTGTGCTCTATGCTCATTTGACTGGGGTGTGAATTACAGAAAGTGGATCACATCTCACCCTTTGAATAGCAGACATTCTCTCTTGAGTGTTCTAATAACAGGTGAACATTACAGAAAATACCTTCTAAATTTTTGCTAGTAGAGCACTCTTTCCCAGAAGTTCTTTGAAAGGGAAATTTTTCTTCATTTACTATTTATTCTTGAAGATAAAGGCTATTCAACAGACATGATCTCTTAACAGACCCAGCAGCCTTGTAAATGTACTTTGGTGATTTTCCTTCTGTAAAGAAAAAGCTCGAAGCTTGTCAAGATTAATTTCTAAGATATCTATTTTCTAGTACCTGATTCTGTCCCAGAAAGAGAATGTCCTTTTTCTGATAGGGTTGTCTTGCCACCAGCGTGTAGTATACAAAGAGTCATAGAATCAACTAGGTTGGAAAAGACCTTTAAGATCATCAAGTCCAACCATTATCCCGGGACTGACAAGACATGGTTTTTTGCACATGTCCAGGGACGGTGACTCCACCACACCCCTGGACAGCCTGTTCCAATACCTGATTACTCTCTGTGAATAATTTTTTCCTAATATCCAGTCTGAACCTCCTCTGGCGCAGCTTAAGACCGTTACCTTTTGTCCTATTGCTTGTCTAATTGAAAGTTGGAATCTGAAGACACCTAAATTGCCTGCTGTAGTCAAATCTAGGAGATCCTCTAATAAAGGTGCCCAAGAAATCTATAGATCTCTACATAGCAATTGTTATGGGCTATCTGTCTATCTACTGGCATGTGCTGAACACACGAAGTCCTGGTGTCTGCTCTTGACAGTCATTTAAAAATAAATTAACAACTAATTCCTGTTTTTGCAGATGTTGAAACCAGCTTCCTACTAGCAACAGAAATACTTATTTTGGGAGGGTTGTACTTTTTGATGTATATTTGATTTTGCATACCTATGCAGAGTTTTTTCTGGTTATTCTAGTTCCTGAGAAATCAATTCTACTTTAAACAGACTTAAAAATCCAGTAATCAGTCCTTAGACCTCTTTAGCAACTCTTGTAATGTTCTTGTTCCTGAATATTATAAATACCTTTACTACCCAGACAAGGCTTAGTTAAAGTCTGTTGTAAGACAGTAACTGGTGCTTACCTGATATTTGTATTGGAATGAATAAATTGCATGCAGCAATTTGCATTGCTGAAAATAGCCTAGTTGAAGTGGGAGAGGAGCAAGAACCTTTGGATTTGAAATTTTAAAAATACATACATTATTTCTGAGAATTTCCAGAGTTCAGTTCTTATCCCTTTGTTGTTTTTTTTTTACTTTGTTCACTTTTTCTCTAGAAAGAGTTCTCTTACCTTCTTTTTCATTTTTGTTTTACTTTATTGTACCACAGAACACCATACCGTCTCTTAATGCATTTGGAACCATGATGCCATGCAGGTGCTTACCCTGTAGCAAATTCCGAATCTGGCAACATTTACAACCTGATCTGTTTGTCAGTTGTTACCACTAAAGATTCTCAGATGCTGTGTAGTTTTATTAAGTACTTTCTTTGCATACCTTTTCCTACAGGTTTTTGGCGCACTAGCATCTGAACCATTTAAAGTGAGTGATGGCTTTTATGGCACTGGGGAGACCTTCATGTTCACTTTTTCTCCAGATTTTGAGGTAAGTAGTAATAACTGTATGCTTTTGCTTTTTTTCTCTCCATATGCATTATCTTAAAATACTTACTGAATAAATCTAACAGTAAATAACCTGAAAAATTCTAGAAGTTGGCCTAAAAAAGTCATCATACTAGTTCTTTCACAGAATGCTACGTGCATGGTAAGTCACTAGTGTTTGCATAGTGGAAAAAGTTACTCAACCCAACTCTTCCATTGTACTGAAGATTTTTCTACTAGTCTAAATTCTACAAATTACATTCTTTTAGAGGGAGTAAAATCTAAGCGTATTTTTTGTTACTCATTGTGTAGAACTTTCAGTGCTCAACTTTGAGTTTTACTTTAAATAGTTTAAAACATAAGAAAATTTTTGTCTGCATATATCTCTTCCCTGAATTTTCTGTGTAAACTTGCTGACTTCATTCAACTGGCCTCTAGCCACCCCTGGTCTGTCTTTACTGATGCTTGGTTTCTCTTCCATTCAAATGAAAAGTTCAGGTATTTTAACTTGCTAATCTGTTGTGGTTGGGTTTTGGGTTTTTTACTAGGTTTTCAAATGGACAGGAGACAACATGTTCTTCATTAAAGGAGACATGGACTCCCTTGCTTTTGGTGGAGGAGGGTAAGTTATAATTTCTTTCTGTGATTAAGAGTCTGTTGAAAGTGTGCATGTCTGCACACCTTTGAAAAGAAAATTTGGAATTGACTTCAGTTTGATAGCTCAGGACTCTTCCAGCCAAGAAAGATTTAGTATGTCAAGTTTTCAGCTTCCTGTATTGAGCAAACTTAAACGAGAGGTTTGTCTTCAGCATAGTGTGGCATGAAGTTTCAGCCGTCCAAGGTTATGGCGTCTTGCATGCTCTGCTTGCATGTGTGTCTTGGTATATTCAGAATTGACACATTCTGATTCTGAAGGTATGCAAATGTGAAAATTATGTGTAACTTGAAGAGGCTTGAACTGAAATTGTACCACCCGTCCCCAGACATGCCACTGTCTTCAGAAATCATACGTTGTGTCACCCCTTTCTCCCCCACCCATGCACATACGTAAGCTTCTGAGATATTTCCTGTATTTATCAGCGTTCTCTTCACATTTAAGGGTGCTGTAATGCCTTTTTCTTAGTACATATGGAAGGAGATGAAAACTGAGGAATTCTGGTTAGTTTTTTATTTCAGAGTATCTGAAAGAGGGGCATTCCTAAATTAATAAATAGCAAAAAAAAAAACCTCTGCAGCTTGAAATTTGTCAAGAGCTATGAGGTACTCGTGTTAAAAAAAATTCCATAGTTCCTCTTTGTTCCTGAATGCTGAATGAAAGATACATTCATAAGTTTAATGCTTACTCCCTCAGTCTTGCTTTAATATGTTGTCTGTCTTACAGAGGGGAGTTTGCTCTTTGGCTCGATGGTGATCTCTACCATGGAAGAAGTCATTCATGTAAAACATTTGGGAATCATACACTTTCTAAGCGAGAAGACTTCATTATTCAAGACATAGAAATATGGGCTTTTGAATGAGTATTTAATTATTTCTGCAGGGTGTTGTCCCAAACCTGACATGAATCAGTACAGCTCAAAAATGCCTAGGAGCAATATAACACACCATTTTACCTTTCTGGGTTTTTTGTAAGTTTCAGCGTGGCCATCTAGTTCTTTTTTTTAAATAGCAGACCCTTTTTCGTGCTCTCACATCTGTAATATACTGTCCAACTTCTTCTAACCTGTAGATGCTTCTACAAAATATAGACCACATGGACTAAAAATTAACATCAGTTACTTTAAACCTTGCAGCCTACAAAGTATTTCTTATCCTCATTACAGCTGCCTCCCAGGTTGCCCACACACACCCCTTTCTGCAATCCTGCTAGGGGGCTGCTTCATTGAATATAGGTTATTATTTTTGTATTCACATTACACCTATGAATGAAGCTGCCCTCTCTGAACCAATGTATGAAGAGAGCTGCGTGTGGGTGTTTGGCAGCAGTACTGCAGGGATTGGGCCAGAGCAATGATGGGTTAGTTCTTATGGTGCCACAAAGAGATGAGAAGCCTAGCATTCCTTCTTAGCACATACCAGTACAGATATGCTGGAAGTTAGAAGATACCCAAAGTCGACGGTGCCACTTGTCTTGTTTATTGTTCATGTTTATTAAAAAAAAAAAAGTCAATTACTACGTGTTCTAGCTGCATGCTGGTTGTATTAAGGAGTGTTTTGCACATGCTGTTAATGATCTGCAGGTTTGGGACAAATACTGACAATACTGAGCTACGCGGCAAGGATTTATCAAATAGCAAGGGAATAATATGATAGTTCCACAAAATTAAAAGGCTAAAGCAAGCAGAACTTGGTGAACAATTTGTAGCTATAGTAGGGCATTAAAAATACAGAAACAGCTGCATCTTTCTTCAACATAAAGTGTCAGATATATCCTGTTATACTGTTGTAGCCGTGTAGCACATCAACTCCAAGAATATAGCTTATTCCTGTCCAAAGAAACAAATAGTTGTGATGTTTTTCAGTGGGTCTATGTTGTAAATTTACAGTTAGCACCAGCTCTGATTAAAATGAGATAGTGTACTATAGGTAGACAATATTGTAATTCAGTAGACTTGTGGAATATGCAAACTTACTGTCATGTGACCTCAAAAAAAAAATGACAGGCTAGAATCCAGTTCCAGTAGCTCTTGTCCACTTTTGTAGGAAAAATGATAAGCCATTGTGGCAATAACAGCTCAACAAAACTGTTTGTTTCAAAGCTTTTATTCTATGTTCTGCAAAACAAAACAATACAAAAAAAAAACAAAACAAAAAAATTGCTGTTAAGTGTGACAGTGACTGACTTTGTGCTGAGATTTCAGCTCTTTCAGATGAACATTGTATATTATCTTGTAAATTAATGTTCAAAGTAGTTTTGTTATTATAGAGAAGTGTTGATCGACGGGTTGCTTATAGCACTTTAAATTATTCTAGAAATGGAATAAAAGCCAAATGGGTTGGCTTAAGTAGATGTAGTTGTACATTATTTCAAAATACTTACATCTCTGGAAAGTTTTAAAAACTTACTTGAAGACAGCTTACTGCTATGGGAATGAGAAAGGGCAGATGTTTCATCTATAATATGCTAATGCTTAATATGAATAGAAATACAGGGCTTTGTTTCCTGTCTCTATGTATAGCTCTTTATCCTGATTAGAACTTAGTACAATGTGTAGACTAAATGTTTACAAAATAAAGAACTGTAAATAAATTGAAATGGCTTTTCTCCCCTTTGGTCTTCCACAGCAGTATTATTGTCTTTGTGGAGTTAAGACTGATTATTACAACAACAAAAAAAATCCTGTAATGGATTTCAAGTACTATAAGGTCACAGTGATGTATAGCAAATAAATCTAAATATATGTAAAAACAAACTTGAGTCAGAGTTTATTTAGAAGTTGGAGTTTATGTAGAAGCACAAATGGTGATTATTGCTCTTCATTTAATAACTCTGCTGAATATACAGGATGTATTTGTTCATCCTTCTGTGGAGTTTTGGTTTTTGAAAGCCCAGTGGGAAGCAGTAGAAGATGCGTCTTCAGCCATTTTTCTGAGAGAAAAACAAAAAGGCATCTTGGATTATCCTTGCTGGAAAAAAACCTACATGAATTCAAGTGCCTAGTCTTTATCGTAAGCTTATATTGCAAAGAAGCTTACTTAGATTTTACATGCTACTGTGAAGAATTGTATGAAGAATTACACTTGGAAAAATTATATAAAAGCACAGAAAAACCTTCAGTAGCTGAATGTCCGAGTATTGGAAAGGCACATGGAGGGTGAGAGTGGAAATAAAGAGCATTATGGTAAGCAGTACAGTAGCAATCATGTTTGTATCAATACTGTATTAGTTGCCAGCTGGGGTTAAACCACAACAACTGCTCATTCAGTTTCAAATTAAAACAGTAACAATCTTGATTTGAATACTTCCTAGTATTCCTCATTCAGGAGGTGAGTCTTACATCTCGCTTTTATGTTCTTCCTTTGTATATGAGCAGGTCATCAGGGTGGCTTACTATTGTCACAGCACCAAGGAGCTCAGTTAAGGGGACAAACCTCTACTCTTTATCCTCGTAAGAGTGCATGCTACTGCAATAGGAAAAATAGCTACACTGTGGCACTGGAACAGAGAGCTCATCTAGCTGAGTGAATGGTGTACCTGTAGTGTGGTATGTACAAACCACAGTGGTCCTGCTGGCTGTCCCACTGCACTATGACCAGTGGCAGGTCCCTTTAAGCTCTGCTTTCTGCTGTCCTGCTTATCTGACAAGCTTTATAATCCTTGTTGAGTTTCTTTTGTAATAGTTACACTGCTAATAATACACATGCTGTTGAACACTAAACTACTTTCAATGTACCCGATAATGGCAGGAGTGACTTCAGTTGAGATGTTGGTGTGGTGCAGTGTATACATAGCAACTGGAGTAATGGGCAACAGGGCTTGCCAATATTCTGTGATCAGTGATGACTGAACATCTCACCACAAATGTTACGCTTTCTACTACACAGTTTTAAAAACTATCTTTAATATTGAACCATGGGTCTGCAGGACCATTTTAAAAAGGCAGTTAAAGCCAAGGAGGAGGGACCTGATTTCCACTAGGTGGGATGCCCCTTCGCTGATCCATCCACTTGCTTTATGCACTGCAGCAATGGTTTTAAGACTTGAGAAAAAATAATACAAAGGTGTGAAAGTCAAACTTACTTCTTCTGATACAAATTCCATGCTGTCACTTAAGCATGTAAGCTACATTCAGAATCCGGAAAATGTACCTCACAGCTCCTAAAGGAGGACAAATTTTTTCAGGACCAAGGAAGGAACTTTGCTTTCCTAGCAAACTTTACACACCATTTGCAAAAGCAACACAAGCTTCAGGCAGAAAAATGGGGGAGGTCTGTTACTGACCAGAAGGAAATCAGTTTCAAATAAAACGGGATAAATGCATTATTTAAGAAAATATGGTGCAAGAGTAAGCTACCATGAGAATAACTAAAAGTTGCTCACTCTTTATCTCAAAGGTTAAGGGTTTAATTTTTGAAACAAGTCAGAATTAGGAAAGCAGGTCTTAAAATCTGTGAAGACTGCTTTAGTCAAGCAGGTTTTGACCTTTATTGTCCTACTACTTAGAATTTAAGTAGAATATTTAAATTTGGCAGAGGTCACACTAGTTCCACAGGAATGTAACACAACACGGTAGGAGAGTAAGACTGGATAATTCAGTTGGTTCTTTCTTAAATCAGATTTATTTTCTTCACCTACTTTCCATGGATAAACTTGTCACACATCTTTAAAAATGTTATAAAACATATAACTTACATGAAACAGTTCCATACATTGTAATATATCAATATTTAATATTTCTCTTACACAAAACCAGTACATACTTTTCACAGTTTAGAAGTCCTACTCAGAGGTGTGGTATCACGTGTAGTTTTCTTACCCAATTGGAAACATTTTGAGTGGAGAAAATAGAATTTTGTTGTTGTTGCAAAAGCTTTTACAATTGCATTGGGATGCTTGTGAATGGAGCCTTAAGAAGTTACCTGTAGCAAGCTATGGAGTGATCATGTCTATAGTGAAAAGATTGTTACACAGCTGATCTAGGGAATTAAGTGCAAGATTTTTGAAGAGGTCTTGTGAACTTGAAGGCTAGTCCTTTTTACCCTTCAAATGCCAGTTGATTTAATGTTACCTTTCTCTAACCATATGATCTTGGTTTTATCCTATGTGGTAAGTATGTTCCAATATGCAGGAAGACGTCATTGTTTCTATAAATACGTTAGCAACAAAGGAGAGACGAGGAGAATCTCCATCCTTTATTTCCTTTATTGAATG